TCTCCCGCCAGGAATCCAGACCTCCCGCGTGTTCTGGCCGGTCCGCCCCCGCCACAGCCAGCGCCCCTTCATCTTCTGCTTCCAGTTCTGGGATTGTGGCGAGTCGGCGCTGAAGAAGTTCGATCACATATTGCTGGTACGTGTCACCGCGTAGTGTCCCCCATGATCTGTCCCTTGCGTGTCACCAGAGCCCCTCCCCCTCCACCTATAGAACCTCCCTAATGGTGGAAGGCTGGGCTCTGCGGGGGCGGGACAAGGGAGGGGAGGGAGGGGCTTGAAGAGGAGTTAGAAGATACCTCCACTTTGTCTGTATCCAGCCCTTCCCTTCTCTTCCCCTCCCTTCCCTTCTCTTCCCCTCCCTTCTCTTCCCCTCCCTTCTCTTCCCCTCCCTTATTCCATGACCTGAGCTCTTCCCTTCCCCCGCAGGCCTGTAAGGAGAAGGCTGACGCCGCGCTCTTCCTCTTCTCCTTCACTGACCGCTCGTCGTTTGAGGACGTCCCGCCGCTGATTTCCCGCACGCTGAGCCCGGAGGAGGACGCGGCGCGCGTTGTGATCGGCACCAAGTATCCTATTCTGTGAACGTTCCGCCATTCCGGGATCGATCCGGATTCACCCACCTGATGCCGGAGGGAGGGACGGGCCGCGCCGCATCACTGCGACCAATCGGATTCAGACTCTCCTTCTGCTGGTTGTCAGAGGAAGTCTGAATCTGATTGGTTGTTGGGGGAGCGACACTCCGCCCATAAAGAGGATGCGTCAGAGATTTATAAGCCCCTCCTCCAGCTCTTCCGATTATGGGAGGAGGCGGAGCCTAGCACTGAAAACACCAATCGCACAGCAGTACACAAGCACGCTTCCGGCTCCCTCCAGTGCTGACCATGGCATGTGGTCACATGATCTGTGCTGCGGGGGGAGGATTGGCCAATCTGATCATCTCCGTCAGCTGACGCACGTGTGCAGCACTCTCCCCTCTATGATTGGTTTGGCCCGATGTCATGTGACCCCCACGACAGGCGCCATGTTTGTCCCCTCCCCCCCTCCATACATGGCGGCTCGATCCTTAACTCCTCGGCAGATTCGACCAGTTCATGTACGCCATTTTTATTTTTTCCGCCAACCGAGGGAGACCCCCCCCAGAAGTCTCCGCCTCCTCGTGTCCCCTCATGATATAGACGGAGGGGGAGAATCTGATTGGCCGGTACGAAGCAGCTCAGACAGTTCTTAATTCAGATATTCGGATTCTGTGACCTGAGGGGAGCGATGTCGCCTCCCTACGCCGTCATGTGACCAGAAATCAACCAATAAACTGATCAAATCCGATCTGTACAGTGTGTGTGTGTGTGTGTGGGGGAGGAGTCATCTGTCATGTATATTGATGTCTGTGTCCCCACAACAGAGATTACCGCCACTTCCTGTCCCGGTGACACCGTGTCCTCTGTACTGGGAGCCCCCACATTGTATATAATGGGGTTCATCCTCCACCCCAATGACCTGACATCAGTCACATGACATACATACCGCTCTCCATCCATTATATCAGATACCGAGAATGAGAAGTGGTACTGTGCAGAGTCCGTACATACAGAATAAGAACAGATACTGAGAATGACACCCGGCTTACATGACAAGGGAAGTGGTACTGTGCAGAGTCCGTACATACAGAATAAGAACAGATAGCGAGAATGACACCCGGCATACAGGACCAGAGAAGTGGTACTGTGCAGGGTCCATACATACAGAATAAGAACAGATACCGAGAATGACACCCGGCATACAGGACAAGAGAAGTGGTACTGTGCAGGGTCCATACATACAGAATAAGAACAGATACCGAGAATGACACCCGGGATACAGGACAAGGGAAGTGGTACTGTGCAGGGTCCATACATACAGAATAAGAACAGATACCGAGAATGACACCCGGGATACAGGACAAGGGAAGTGGTACTGTGCAGAGTCCATACATACAGAATAAGGACAGATACTGAGAATGACACCCGGCATACAGGACCAGAGAAGTGGTACTGTGCAGAGTCCATACAGAGTAAGAACAGATACCGAGAATGACACCCGGCATACAGGACAAGGGAAGTGGTACTGTGCAGAGTCCATACATACAGAATAAGAACAGATACCGAGAATGACACCCGGCATACAGGACAAGGGAAGTGGTACTGTGCAGAGTCCATACATACAGAGTAAGAACAGATACCGAGAATAAGACATTTTTTTTGACAATCATGGAGATGACTCCGCCCACTGCGCTCTTTGTCGCCTTTATTCCTCATAAAACTATAAATCTCATCAGACTTCAACATGAAATAAATACAATAGTTACAGACGGGAAACATTCGGATACATTGAAGTTCGCGGCTCCCGATTGGTCGGAATGTCAATCATCTCGCAAAAACCTTCACACGGGATGGAGACGTCGGAGGAACTACAAGTCCCAGCTCGGATCTTTCCTCCAT